TCCCCGCCATTGAGTCGAGTCTGACACATAGCAGCCCTCCAGGGCACCATAGACTCAAGAGTCAAAAGTTTCACCTTTATCCCAAGGAGAGGCTGGTGGTTTCAAACTGTACTCGTGGTTCGCAGCCCATTTTTAACAACTATGCCATCTGTTCCAGCTTATACCTTCGCAGAAGGTCACATCACATCGGCATAAAATTGAACCATCGTAAGTTATAATCGTGGGCACGTTGCTAAACCTCGCTGAGTCTCATGGCCATCTTCTCTAAACATGCAGGTGGTCCTGTGGTTTTCGCCTTGGCCTCTCTTTTCCAATAAAGATGTAGTCTCAGAAACCCCATGAATCAGAATCAACTCAATGACAGTGAGTTCGGGGATTGAATGTGATGATTTATTTTCATAAAAATAGTCTAAATGATAATCTTATTTTTTTTTCTGCTTTTATTTTTAATTTCTTTTTTAACATTTTATTAGGGGCTCATGATAATCTTATTAATACCAACACTGAACAAATAATGGATTTAAATATCTAGCTGGAGTGAAAAACAGTAATAGGATAAGACACGTCTACAAATTAACGTTGTATCTGCACCTTTCAATGATACATTTTGGTGGTTTTTCTCATTCATGAAGATAAATCCTTATGAATCCCAGTAGGAAAATTATTCCATGCTAAGGAATTTAAGTAAATGGCTGTGTTGTGCAAATGGTTAACAGGCTCAACTGATCACTGCTAAGAAAGGAGGTTTCGTCGGTCCCCCACAAGGCACCTTCAAAGAAAGGCCTGATGATTTACTTCCCTAAAACCAGCCATCCCAAACCCTATCGAGCATGATTCTGCTCTGACACACGAGGCTGCCATGAATCAAAATTGGCTTGATGGCAACATATTTTATTTCAAAGACCTTAAAGTCCCTACTACGGAATGCATTCTGCCCTACAGCAGCCCTCTATTGGATTTATAAGGTTGTAATGGCAGCCCTGGCGGGCTAGGAGTTAAGCGTTAGGCTGGTTACCCCAAGATGAGGTTTTCTACTCCAGTAAAGGGTTACAGTCTCATAAGTTCACAGTCAATTCTACCTGTGGTTGGACCGTAGGGTCGCTATGAGGCAGCATCAACTCAGTGACAGTGAGTGCTTTGGGTTTTGTTTTTGGGGAGGCTATAAATCTTTATAGGAGCAGATAGTTTCATTTGAACCACCTCCCTTGCAGTTAGCAGTCCGTCTCTATTTCAGGGCTACTGGGGCTCCTTTAAGGAATTTAATACCTTATTTAAAAATCATATGGGAGGACAGAGGTATGAGGGAAGCCTGTGAAATGCATTATTTGTGTGACAGTTTAACCATTGGGCTTCTTTCTCAAGGTCATGAGTCTGAACTCACCAGCTACTCTGCCAGAGAAGACGAGGCAGTTGGCACCACTACAGATTTGTAATCTCTGAAACCCTGTGGGGCAGTTCTACTTTGTGCCACAGGGTTGCTGTGAGTCAGAAGCCACTTGACAGCAATGAATGGGCGTGGTTTTGGAAGTAAAATAAGTGATCTGTCTCACTAAGGTGAACTATTTTCAGTGGTATTTTAAACACAAATTAAATTAGTAATCATGCTGTTGAACTAATTCTCACTCACATTTCAGACTCTCATAATCTCTCAGACGTTTTAGTTTATAAGATGTAAGCTTTTATATACTGACAATATGCTTACAGACAGACTTTAACCTATGTCTGTTCTTCCAACAAGAACGTGCTAGTGTCTCTGGATTATTTTTGTATCTTCCTTTTCCACCCCCAAACCTGGTAGTTTGTGTGATGAATCCAGCGTCTCCTCTCCCAGGTCTAACCATGCTCTCTGGCCCAGGCATAGAGGAACTTCAATGACAGAACGTTTAAGAAACGAACTTCCTTTGTCATCCCCTCAACTCTGTTGAGCATACCTTTTCAAGTACCCTTCCACATACAAAAGAGTATCAGATTCATGATAACTTTATATGAAACTCCTTTGACAAAGGCCTTACTCCCTCCCGTGTTTTCAAGCTCATTCATCTTAAAACTTTCATCATTGTTTCCAACGCTTCGTTTCGGCAAGCTTGATTGATTCTTTCCCGTGCCTAAGCCTCTCTTTTAACTATAAACACCTACCTCTTTTTTATTTGCACAAAAACGACATCTAAGCTTCTCTAGTTGTTTAAATTTTAAGACAGTTAGAGCTTGACTGTACTCTGTCACAAAGTGAACTAAAGTTGGGAGAATAATTACTGCAGGTCTAACTGGTAGCGAGTCAAATATTCATGAGTTTGGTTTTCTTATTTATATTGCTTCTTATTCACCTTTCGGGGATCTTTGAAACAAAACCATCTACCCCCAAACATGTTTAAAACCCAAACAGGATAAATAAGAAAAGTGCAAGTGTATCTTTGGAAAACTAATCAAGATATGCTTCTTCTCTTAAGGGTAAGGCTAGCCACCGGGTCAGAGTTGGAGGGATAGACAAGGGGACCACTCACCCTTTGAAGGGGAACACGCAACACTCATTTGCGGTGGCACAAGCAGGTGTTCACACTTCTCTAAGGATCTGCTCATGTGGGAACAGGTAGCTGATATGCTGTTAGGGTGCTGAGGTCTTGATCAAATGTCAGATAATACAGTTGGCATAAGAAGACAGCTAAGCATGCATTGCCACTAGCATTGTCTTTCTCATTTTCGTATTGTATTGGGTCAGTATCCCACAAGCCAGCCAAAGAATGTAGCAAAATGGCTTATGGAGCCCAGTGGTAAAAGACAGTGATTGCATTCACGCCTATTTTTAAATCTAGGTGTCTGTTTTGAATGACTTCCCTCCATGGATTGTCAGCCAGTAGTGCTTTTGGGCAGTACCTGCGAGAAACCTAATGCTACAAAGCCAAAGGAGATTTTGTGCTGGTTTGGCAACGAGGGAAAATGGAGAAGAAATCATTCCCAGTGCTTCTAATCGGATGCGCTGATGATCTTAGATGTGCCATAAGATAAGGAAAACTCCTAAGTCATTACCATGTGGAGAAGATGAGGCAACTAACTAGCATTATGTGTTACAAATGGGGACTGCAGTGATAAGATTTATGCTTAAGTGTAGATTACCAGGCATAAATTCATAGTGCTTATTTAATTTTCCACCTAATCTACTAATGAAGCACTCTATATATGTAGGATACTGAAGTTATGTCAAATCAGTGTATATTCTTCAACACATGGAATGCTATAATTGCTGAATAGTGAAAATATATAATTATTCATAGGGCAAGTTCCTCGCTTACAAATGCCAGACATATGAACAAGTTGTACTTGCCCTTTAATGCTATGTAAATCGGGCTTCACTTTGAAATAACTGAACCGACCCCTACTCAAAATGAATTCTTCAGTACACTCACCTTTCTTTGCAGCCTGTGCTGGTCTTAAATCATTGGAAGAGCCTCAAGCCTTTGATGGCACTAAAATAAAGCTAAATAAGAGCTGCGTGTATCTAAATAAGAATTGTATTCCAATTTCTCTACAAATTCAGCTTAAGGACTCACTTAGAAGGCTCTCATTTGTAACCCCGGGGCTGCCTGTAGCTTGTACGTATCATTGCAATTTAGATATCACGTTTGTTAAGATTCCTTTAAAATCTGCAGTTAGGTTTTTTAATGGTTTTTTAAAAAGGAACTGAATTTGCTGGGTTTTTATTGTTGTTGTTTTTTAAATATCCTTAATAGTACATACAGATGGTTCAATATTCTGGAAGATCTGTAAAAATCATCACCTATTGCTATGGCATAATATTCAAGACTAATTATGAATAGAGTTGGTTATGACCTTGTTTTTGTTTTCTTTTCTAAACTTTAATTGGTGTCTGGGCAATTGGGAAATGCAATAGCCACAAGACATAGCAGAAGAAGGCAGGTATAAAAGTGTAGCTGAAAAACTCCAGCCTGATATCTGCAGTTGCATACTGAGAGCCTTCTAAGGTTCCAATCATGTGTGGCTAGTCAAAGGACATCTCTAGAGAGTATTCCCTTGGGCAGTCACACCGATGGAAATTTTGAAGATCTATTTTAAGATCAGCTGACAGGTTCACAAGCTAACCTTGAAATCAAGGTACTCCCATGTTGCCTTTGATTTCTAAAATTTTTACTACTTTTGCTAATTAGGTTCTCTCTCTGAGACACTTTTTGTGGAGATACAAACAGATTTCTCAGATACCATTTTTATATATAACATATCCCGCTAATCAGCTCCCACTTTCTAAAACAATTTCCTTCTGGATTCTAAAGGACAAATTCAAAAATGACAAAAAGAAAGGAACTTCAAAATAGTTGTGGTGAAATGGCATTATCTTTTAATGCCATTTTCTATGGGCATTTTAAAGCTGGCTGGTATGGTCCCAGTGGTATGACTGGCTATGTAAATTTGGTAATGGCCACTGGTGCCACAGATCAGGGATAACATGGTAAGTGGAAGTGTTCTTTAGATAACGTGGTCAGTGGAAAACTGTATTGCATTTGATCTCTGCTTTCTCAGTGTCAGAGATATTTATGATTCTAAGTAGCAACATGCATGGCTATTAAAGGTAAAAGAAACAGCAGGGGCTTGGTTCCAACTGCTTAGTAAACAATTGTAGAAAGATGTTTATTAAAGCTGGCTCTCAAGTGACAGATAAATGCATAGTTCTATTATGCATGCCAAATTTAGCATGCTGCAAGCTTAAAAAGCAGATAGATCAAAACAAGAGAGATTTTTTAAAATCATGAAGACAAAATACAGATATGTCAGTATGTGACAGGAAAATAATTTTGCCATAAAAATGATTCTCCATTCCTCCTGCCCCCCAAGGTACATGTAACCACAATTTGTAGAACAAAGTTAAAATATTTGGGGGACTATTCCATTTCTTAATATACAAGGCATCGAGCTTAAAAACTCATTTACACGGACTATTCTTCAATTATGATTGGTTCCGTCTGAGATGAACAAAAAACAGCATCACATAATCATTGATGAATGGTTCTTATTTATTAATGTTCGATACTTAATTCTTAAACGCAACAATAACAACAACAAAAGACAAAATGTACACACAAGCCACTAAACAGGTTCTCCCATGCACGTCCTTTGCTACCTCACAAGATGCCACTGCGTGATTTTCAGTGAAGTTCATGTGCTCGGGGTTGACTATTTCCACCATCCAGAGCCGTATTTACAGAAAGATGTACACACATTGTAGATGGTGGGGTGGCACAACCTCCACATGATTAAAGCTCCAGGTCCTTGTTCTTTGTAGGGCTTTGTGTAAATGTCAATAAATTTGAGAGTTCACCCAATTGTGCCTCTTAACTTTTGTTCCCAAAGGTGAAGGGTAGGATTTTTAATCAAGTAGCAATTTATCTTTAATTAGGAAAACATAATTAGGTATTATCATCTAATTGCAATTACTGGTTGGAGAAAGTCACATTTCACAAGTAGTGACCCAGGCTGGATTACTGCTCTCCTCTGACTGGATTTTGCATCTGTATCAGTACTTGGCAGATAGCCGAGAGCCACTGCAAGGGAATGCCCAGGCTCTTATCTGGTCCAGCTGTCAAAGTCACCAGCTCGATGAGCTTCTTCCAGAGCCACAGCTTGGACTTCTCTGCTTCCTGCTCAGATATTATCCAGTGTTGATACAAATAGTTGTATTCCAAAACAAAACAACATGAAATGGGAAAACACCCAAGAGAAGTAGGTTATTGAACCATCTCACCGTTCATTTCTGGTACAGTTAAAAACGGTTTAGTGTCTCAAGGCACCACTATGGTTGAACATCAAATACACAGGAAATCACCTAATCTTCTACAATGCTGTAAAGTCAGTCAATAGCTTGTGCGGTTGTGAAAAGCGATCTCTAGAGGACAGTGAGATATACAGTAGGCACGTGTATTATAATACAAATAGAAAAGGATGAGTTCTAGAAAAAGCGTGTTGAGCACCGTTGTGGCCTTGTTCTTTATATTTCTTTACCTACTACTACGTAAACCTTACATGTACAAAAGGAAAAACTACCTTCTTAAAGTTACACTCAAGTTGTTTTTGTGCTATCCCCACGTAAGTGAATCTAGTTCGTTCGTGGACTTTGAGAAGTTGTCGGCTCTAGATCCGCCTCTGCTGCACTGGGAGATTCATTCAAGTGGGAACTCAGGTTTTCTGATGTCAGGTGGGAAGACTTGTAGACGATCTCGTTGAAGTCGGATCTGATGCAAACCAAAGGCGGGTCATTCAATGGGTCCTCCACTGAGACCTGGGTGTCTTCTCTCGTGATGCCCATGTCCTTGCTTTGTTCCGATGGGGATTTTCTTTTCATGCGAGTGTAAGTTTTATCTTGGTTCTCCATGCCCTGCTCATTTTTCAAAAAACGTCCAAAGAACCAGATGAAGAATCCAAACCACACAAAAGCGATCAAACTTGGAACAAAGGCCAAGCACTTGACGTCAAGGCTAGCTCCTATGTACCTGCTGTGTAAGAACATGTCTCCCTCAACATACGTTTTATTAGTCTGAGGGTTAGTGTGATTAGACCTCCATTCCCATGACAGCTTGGTTCTGTTCAAATCTTTTAGACTTTCTGAGTCTTTCACTGTGTAAATCTTCTGTCCTGGGCCGATATACTGCCCATATTCATGAGGTTTATAAAATATCTGGTTCTTCCACATATTAAGATCCAAAATCAAGACGAGAAAGATGATTCCATAATTAAACCATTTGCCTGCATTAAAAAAGAAATACTGAATTACTCAAAGAGCCATAAAATTGCAACAGGATTTTCTCCAAGAAAATGGAGATTCTGGTGTAATGGTATAAACTGCTAATGTTTTAGATCCGTTAACAATTCATTTTTGAGACTGCTCTCCTGCCGTTGAGCTCATTGGCAAAGGGAATTTGCTAAATGGATTCTAGGCAAATGAAAATATATTTGTAAGTCCCCAGAGCCAGTAATTTATGGTATATATACTAATAAGATTAGCTCTTCTTGTTTTAAAGGCATGATTGCTACACTCAAATTTGATTCCATGTAGGTTATTTTCTAGAACATTTCAATTAATGTTGAAAACAAAGTCTTAATAAAGTCTTAGAAAACTTCAGTGTATGATTGAACATCTCTTCAGTTTTATAATTATGTCTGGGCAAGAAATAAATCATTTTGCAATGTGAGCACAGCAGTGTATCAATTGAATTCACATGGGTTTGTAGGTGACCTGTTGATTAAACCATTAGTTGATGTGATCCAGATCAATAATCTTTGAGCATTCCGTTAAGGACTTTAAAAATAATTACATCAGATTCCCATTGAACAGAGTGCATTTATCAGGCACATAAATATAACCAAATCTAATCAATTTCTTTAGGAGACATGTTTTGAGGAGATTTTAACTAATGTAGTTTGTGGTACTTAAAATGTATAAATAAGATATAACTTAGTGATACATTATTTAGTGCTATTCATATATCTGTAAATTGGAAAATGGGCAAAAATAACTTTCAAGGAATTCTGGATGCCATATAATTTTTATTATAATAATAATTCATTTCAAATTTTACAGTATCACATACATTTAATAATAATATTGCAATAGTCACCTCATAGGTTTGTTATAGCAAATTAGATAATACATGTAGAGGACTTGAAAAGCTTTAGCTATAATTACCACATGTATCATGCCGACAGTACTTTCTTTTGTATTGGAAGATAGCAATATTGACCATAATTAAGCTATTGCTTGCCATGATTAAAGAATTCTTGTGACAAGAGAGATAGGCGGTTGGGCACACATGTGTAAAAAGGGTAAAAATATATATTGCAATATGTACTATACCATAATACATAAATATTTGTGAGGAGTTTTTAAATCATCATTATTAAATATTTTCAAGCTACGATTATATGGACGGTTGAAGAGTTTTAATCTTGAATTCACAACTTACTGGCTCTGTGATCTTGAGCTAGTTGCTCAAATTCTCTAATTTCTTTATACACAGAAAATAACAATACTTATTAAGGTTGTTAGCATTACGTGAGATGAATAGACATTAAGCACAGAGTCTGGCACATAACTCTGCCAATACTGAAATGACTCAAATATAAAATACCTGTTGCTCTCATGTTGATTATAGCTTAAATGATAGAATAGAGCTGCCTCAAGAGTGTTTCCAAAGCTATAAATCTTTGGAAAGTAGACCCCTGCATCTTTCCCACATGGAATGGCTGTTGGGTTCAAAATACTAATGCCTCTGTTAGCTGCCAAGATCTTAACCATTTTCTCACCAGGGCATCTTTTAATTTAACTACTCAGGGTTTGTAATATTTATAATGGAAGTTCCCTGAATCATTCATTTTGCCCATCCAAATGAAAAAGTAACTTTCGAGCATTGGGAACATTGTTCCTACATATAATAAAATATTTATAACATCTGCCACTGTTCAGTTCAAACCTTTCCTGCTCTCCCAGGGCTTCAAAACTAAAACAGATTCACAGGGCCCGGCTATCAAAAGATATAGTGTCTGGGGTCTTAAAGGCTTGAAGTTAAATAAGTGGGAGTAGTAATATCATGAGGGTAGGGGGTTTGTGAGTATGGGAGGGGAAGAAAGGGGGAACCCATCACAAGGCTGGATATATAGCTCACCCCCCAGAGGTCTGAATAACAGAAATGTGGGTGAAGGGATACAAAGACAGTGTAAGACACGAAACAACGACAATAATATATACTTGATCCAGGATTCACGAGGGTGAGAAGGGGGAGGGAGGGGGAGAAAAGGAGCTCATACTAAGGTCTCAAGTAGAAAGAAAAGGTTTTGGAAATGTTGATGGCAACATATGTACAAGTGTGCTTAATACAATTGAATAATGGATTGTTATAAGATTTGTAAGAGACCCACAATAAAATGCTTAATAAAAAAATCAAATAAAAGATCAACCATATGAACAATGGAATGGCATGATAAGGGCGCCCAATAAAATGGCTGTGGAAATTTAAAAACAAAAGTCAATCATAAAGCAAAATAAGGGTGTGCTGAACCTGGAGAAACTTAGTCAAATACAAAGGTGAGCATCGTTACCAAACATTCGTTGGGATCATGATGGCCTGTGCGCAAAATACCTTGATAGAGACTGAAGACATGTATTTCTGTCTTCTAGGGGAGAGATTCATTTTGGTGGGGAAATAGGACCTCAAAAGATAAATAGTAAGAGGGGACCATCGTCAAGAGGTGCTAAATGAATGGCCCACAACATAAACGCATACTAGTGTAACTGCTGAGAGACTAGGAAAAAAATAACAAGTAAACACTGCACCCCACCTCCCACCCCCAACCCCCTCACCAAAAAAAACCCCACACGAAGCAAATGAGGTCTGACTTTTGCAGAAAAGATTATTGAGGAAGTAACAATTCATGTGGTCCTGGAAGAAACACAGAGCGGAGAATATTTGGAAATGTGTCTCTAATTTGACGTGTTTATTATGCGGCAGGTAAAACGTCACACGCAAAAAGGCTAAGGGATGTGGAAGAGCGGGGCTGTGAGAATACTGTAGAAACGGAGTGGGGGGAGAAGGGCGAGAGCTAGGTGCGAAACAGAGGCAATGGCAAATTTCAGAGCTCCTCGCCAGTATTAAAGAGGCACGGACATGTAGCTTTCGAATAAAAACCAAGAAGGAAAGGAGAGCCTTGGGAGCCCTTCTGTGGTAGGGGATTCATATGCCTACTCTCGCTGTAAATTGTAGGTGCTAAAAACTCAAATTGGATGCTGAGGAGAAAGGTCCTGTCGTTTAAATAATGGGCCACCACATTCTTGACCCACAAAAGTCCCTTGGAGAAATGTGCAGCCCTCTTCCGTCTTTTCTGAGCAGCTCATGAATGGGCAAGTCCCTCGTAAAGAGTTCTTTGTTTCTATAGCAACAGGATGTGAGAACCCGAAGACAAGCAGCATTGCAGAATCAGAGAGGAAGGTAAGGGAATGCTCATGGAGTTTGGAGGCTGGTGCTTCGCTGATGGGGAAAAGGAGACTCTAAAACACAAAGGAAAAACGATCGTACAATCAAAGAACAACAGTGGACGTTAATAAACACAAAGAAGAAGGCGCACCGAGAAAAAAACAAACAAAAACCTGGTGCCAGCAAGCCCATGCTAGCTGACAACGCCTGGCCAGAGGAGAACTGCCCGGGGAGTTTTCCAAACGGTAGGACTTTACTGGAACAGAGAGCCTCATCTTTCCCCATGAAGCGGCTGGTGTGTTCAAACTGCTGACCTGGGTCGTTAGCAGCCGGAAGCACAACTCACCACGGCATCAAGGCACCTTAGCGCTAAGAATGGGGGACGATATTTTCGAGCACTAACTTTAAGAGAAAGGGGTCCGTTTGACCACGGAATTTCTCCCCTACAGTATTCCTTCACGTGACTATGCCCTTCGTCCATCTGTCCAGAATAAGGGGGTCCATCCTTCTCTATCGTCCATACTCACAACATTTGTTGTTACGTTTGTAATGCTTTCTTTCCTTAAAACACATACACAGTTTTTTTTTTCCTTTGAGATATGACAAACTCAAAGACACATTTACATGGGATCATTTAAACTGGGTTTTCTCATCTATGAAGTGATGGGGTTGAGCTATAATCAGCCCTTAAATGTCATCTGAGCCCTTTGGAGAGTCTGTGCAGCAAGCATCACACAAACCTTAAGGTTTTATGATGAGCCAGGACATCTCATCATGAGGACCCAAAAGATGGAATATATAGTTTTCACATGGAGCAAGGTTTCCTCATGCAGACCTGGTTAGACCAGATGATGCACAGCGGTACAGATGGGAATTGGAAACGCAGGGAATCTAGGACAGATGAACCTCTCAGGACCAGGGGTGACAGTGGTGATACCAGGAGGGAAAGGGGGTGTAGAAAGGGGGAATGGATCACAGGGAGCTACATATAACCTCCTCTCTGGGGGACGGGCAGCAGAGGGGTAGGTGAAGGGAGATGCCGGACAGTGTAATATAAGATACAATAATAATTTATAAATTATCAAGGGTGCATGGGGGAGAGGGGAGGAGGAAGGGAGGGGGAGGGGAAAAAAGGAAAATGAGCTGATTCCAGGAACCCAAGAGGTAAATGAATTTTGAGCATGAGGGCAACAAATGTATAGATGTGCTTTACACAATTGATCTATGTATTGTGATGAATTGTATGAGCCCCAATAAATTGATTTAAAAAAATAAATAAAAGTAGCATTATAAATTTTGAGGGCAAACACTTACCAAAAGAAATAAATTCACCTGGCCAAAGTGACCCACGTGGAAATGATAGAAAACACACACAAGAACAGCTAGGTGTGCTTGTGGAGCCCTGCCCTGGAGTGCATTGCTCTGTGTGTAACAAGAGGCTGGTTATTTTAGCATTCATCACAGAAGAGCACCTGCCTCTCCCCTGTTGTTTCAACTACAGAGCATAATGTAAAGCAACAAGGAGGAAGGGTGAGAATCCATACATTATTTCTATGAAGCTCCTCGTTGAAATATCTCCCTGTCTGCTTTAATGAGAAATCACTGCATGGTGTTGGTGGGATTACCTCTTCCTTGTATTTTATGCTTTTAATGAATCTTACTGATTGTTAAAAATGATACTCTAATGGTAATTTTATCTTATTACTTTGTGGGAGTTTAGAGAATCCTCAACTAGTTAATTTTAAAAGGAGTCTTCATGAAATAGCCCTTCTGCTTAGC